CAACGGGACCCACGACGCAGAGTTAATTGCTGCGGCTCATGATTGGCCTATCAAAGTAGGCCAATAAATATCAAAACCACGAGTCTAATGTGTTGATTATAGGTTCCCCTAAAAGCAAGTCATATCCATAAGGATAAACACATGCGCATATCACTATAGTGCAGGGAGCTCTTTCTTACACCCATGTGCATGTCCCTCCCAGGGTTGCTTCCCAAAATGCTGCCACCATGTATACATTCCATGTGGTGGTTGTTGAGGATTTGGCCCTTGCCGTCATATATCTCCAACTACACATGCAAGAAGACCACCAGCCTCCAACTCTACCTCTTCTATAACCTGGATCATTGATTTAGGGCTACTGATCATATGACTGCAAAGAAAGTTGGTTTCTTGTCCTTTTCTACTGCTTCTTGTGAAGATAAAGTTACTAATGGATACACAACCAGTGCCTCTGAGAGTAGAACATATAAACTTTCATCGTCAAAATCTTACCCTCTGTAATAGATGTGCCTTCTTTTCCTTCCAAACTTCTTTCTATTAGCAGCTTGATGAAACAACTAAATTAAAGAGTTACATTCTCTCCCTCAATATGCCTATTTCAGGACCTGAAAACGAGGTGGTGGTTGTGAAGACGACCGCTATACCTATTCAACACGGGATGCAATTCTGCTGCTCTCAACTCTGAGTCTAGAAGTCATGAGCAAGTACTTATCATGGCTTCTTCACTTATCTGTATGACAACATTCCTCGAGCAAACCATTGGCATCACCATGTCGTCTTCTCTTAAGAATTTAATCCTTATAACGATCATAATCAACAAAGTGTAGGAAATCTCATGTGATTATTGCTTGTCCTATTTCAAAATTTACTCTAGATGCCACTCAAATGTAAACTAAACATCTTCTATTCCCAAACCTAAACACATGTCATCGGTCAATAACAGTTATTTCAAATTCTAAAATAGAGCCAACCTTTCTCACATTAGGTCATAGCACATGAAAAGGACTAATCCACCCCGGCTTAGGGTTTCGGGTTTAGGGGTTAGGGTTTAGGGAAAAGGGTATGAAATGCTTTACATACATTATCAAAATGCCCAAATCAGGTATTTGTGATTTCACTTGACACAAACCTTTGCAACAAGATAAATAGAGGCACGATTGACATATTTATGCATCACTTTTAGTTTATCGAGAAGAAATATTTCACACTAACTACTCCAATCTTTGGTCCATCGCTTTCCCGCACCTTCTCTAATTCTTGTCGACCATTTTTCCAAGCACATAAATTGCATACAACTAAAGCTTTCAAGTTCACCCCTATTGTGTGGTCATGGATGAGGCTCTAGTCACGATACGAACTTTGTTGAAGGTTCGAAAACTCTCCCACCTAGCCGCCTAGGTGGATAGGGGGTATTGTCACACCGAAGGGGTGCTGTGCGGGCTGCCGAGGCATGAGGTGCCTAGGCACCCACATCTGCCCAGGCATCTAGGTTGCAGCTTGAGCCCTTGGCTAGAAAAGATGTCCTCCGCTAAGGGCATTTAGGTACTCTTCCACATCAGCCACCTGTAAGTGCGAAAAAAGGTATTGCAACCCCTCAAAACCCGCTTGCCTCTCTTTAGAGAGAGAAAATGTCATCATCGGAGCCTTATCCCACCTATTTGGAGTCAGCCACATCAATCTTGTTCCGCCATTCTACTCTATCAAGGATATCTATCCTCATTACTTCTATCTATATCCTTTTAGGCCTTCCCTTGCCCTGTTAGAGCCTTCCACTATAACCAAATCGTCCTTTCTAAACGGTGATCTATTAGGTCTACGTTGCACAGGGTCAACCCACCTAAGTCTACTTTCCCTCATCTTATCACCTATTAGAACCACCCCTAAGTTCCCAAGTATGTAGTCATTTTGAATGCTATCCTTTCTTATCTTGTCACCCATTCACCTCAACATCCTCATTTCAACTACACTCATCCTTTGGATATGTTGTTTCTTCACCGCCCAACATTCTGTCCCGTAAATAATGTTTGATCTTACACCATCCTATAATACTTCCCTTTAAGTTTCATTGATATATGTGTCAATCACATAAAATTCTGAATGCACAACTCCACTTCTTTCCACCTAGCTCTAATTCTATGAGCAACATCTTCCTGAATCTCTCCATTCTCCTGGATTATTGATCCAGGATATCAAAAACTATTTAAACTATTTAAAAAAAAATTCAAGATTTTTTCCAATATTGAATTTTTTTCGAATTTTTCCAAGATTTAGATTTTTTTTCCCCCATTAAAATTTGTCCAAGGATTTTTACAGTTTGCCTCTTTTGAAATGTTAGTGGATTTAAATCTTTTGTTTAGGTTCGTTAATTTATATGAATGTTAGGTTTAGTTTCTTCTTTTCTTTTTTGTAATTTATTTGTGCTTATTTGTTTTTCATTCTTGGAACCAATTCCAAGTTTAAATTTGAATTTGAGCTTCATATTTAAGAGTGGGTTTGGGTTTGTGATCAATGGAATTTTGTTTAGATTGGGTAACCCAATCTTAATGAAATTTCTTGGAACTTAATCAAAATGGATTTTTTATAGTTTGTTGGTTAGTCATTTGGCCTTATTCTACTTGTCTCTTAATTGAAAATGGGCAGATAATGCGATTTTCTTTTATATTTTGTTTTTGTTCTATTGTTCTTGTACATATTTTTCTTTTCTTTCTTTTTTTTTTGTTATTGCCATTGATGAACTAATAATGTAGAATGTTGATTTTGGACAATAGGCAGCTTTTGATCTTTTGTACCTTTACTTTTAGACTCCTAGTAATTCAAATTCAAATTTGTAATTGACTTATCATATACGTATGAAAGTAATTGACTTATCATACACGTATGATGTATTACAAAGTTAGATAACGTCTTTTATTTGTATTTTTGAAAAAAAAAAGGTTTCTAGGAACAATTTGGGGTACGGCTTTCAAACAAACCCCCCCGAAACAACATCTCTAGGCCCTAGAACCCAACTTCAATGGACGGGCCACCTAAGGAAGTAGGCACCTACCCAGCCGCTTAGGTGGCCCAGCTGCTTAGATGGCCCAGCCGCCTAGGCGGCTTGGATCCCTGGTCACCTAGGAAGCCGAATCCCCCCATTTTGGACCCCAAGCCACCTAGACAGTCAAATCCACATTTTTGAAGGTTGTATCAACTACAAGAATGCTTCTAGAATTTATGTTGTAAAGGGGTTCATGACCAACAAATTGTTAAGAGTGCACTTGAACAAAGGGTACACTTCTTCAACATATGTTGGGAAGGTGTCCATGACCAACAAATTGTCTCTAAGTGTGCATTGTAACTTTATCTAACATAATGGGCACAGTAATCAAACTTGCAACTACATCAACTCCACCAGCAACAAGACATGATTATTCATTATTCTTATTAGCAAATTGCTCGGTTTAGCATGATGAAGATGCTGGTCACGAAGTTTAAACTTTTTTCCAAATTACTTCAACTCTTTTCAAATTCGAACACTCCTAATTTCTGTCCACCAACTTTCCAAGTGCATAAAATGTATACCTCTTGTGTGGTCATGGTTGAGGCTCCAGCACAATAGTTACTTCCAGTCAACTACTAGAACTTTAAGTGCTAAAGTAAATCTGCCATTCAACTCATATCAACAACTTCAACCCTCATATGCATGTTTGTGATTAAACTGTAGGACAAACTCTGTAGCATCAACCAAAGGCCTACATGACCAAAAGGCTAGAGTGTAATCCGTGAAAGGGTCCATGACCTACAAATTGAGTGTGAACTTTACCTGATAGAGTTGGCGCAGTTATTAAACTTGCAAGTCCTGAATTACCATATCAACTCCACAAGCAGCAATGCCAAGTGGTCTAATTAACACTATGCTTGGTGAAGTATACTGAAGATGATGGCCATGAAACTAAACTATTTCAAATCATCAACTCCTCTCAAATTTCAACAATCACTTTATCTAATCTCTGGTGCACCATATTTCCACGTGCATAAAATGCATATATATGAATTTTTCAAGTTCATGCATGCTGTGTGATTGTGGTCGACACTACTCACTTATAACAACTTCCAGTCAACTACTTGAATTTTAGGTGCTAAAGTAAATCAGCCATTTCAACAATACATTGCTACAATTGCTTCAAAACTGGATGAGTACCTAATGTTCCGGCCCATATCGCCATATGGTACTAATTACGCCCACTGACTATACTTATTATTTACTACTACGAAGTATCAAATTGAGCTAATTCATGCTCCACACACATATATGCTGAGAATCTTTGTCCAGTACATTTGTGAAGATTTTTGGACAATAAGTAATAAGAGATACAGGGTAAAGGCAAGTCTGTCAAAGAGAAAAATGAGATTGTAAAGTTTTATTGTTGGGAGTATATCAACTATTAAGATTCACTTTTCACCCCCCATTTGCTACAGAAAATCATCTACATATTAAGTTTATATTGGATCGATCCAAGAAAGTTATATATTTGATCAATCCAAGAGAGTTAGACAACAGTTACCAGTTCCATTATCAGAGACCGTAACAATTGTGCAAATGCATAATCCATGAATATGATGCTCGAAACATATAGCACTTATTGGAATGTGTTGGCAGAAAAAATGACAGACAGCATGTGGATAATACTCCTGGGCCTCAAAGAACTACAAAAATCCCTTTAGAAAGAAAGTGATGAGCAAAAGGAAATAGCTCTCAATTCAGTGTTAAGCAACTGCATATAACTGATATTGCATATTGATAAGTTTCATTTCAAGTTATTAATGGAAGTGTCAGCAAAACCAGAGAACAAATTCTGTCCCCAAATAACACCCCTCCACTATGCTAAGAACTTTGAAAAGAAAAAAAATAAGAACAAGAAAATGAAAGAAAAGATAGAATAACAAGCAAGAAGGACAAGCAAAAATTCCAAGCAAGAAACTAAAATCTGGAAATTAGGAGATAGCGAAGGCATACATACATAGTGGCCTCTTGGTTTGTTCTTGAGTGTGGCACTAGCATTGCAAGGTGGAGAATATATGCTGTAGGGATCAATGTTTCCTTGTTCCAGATTAGCAAGATCAAGAGCCTTGATGCATTCCACAGAGGGGTGCATAGCGGACCCAAAATCACAAGCTAATCTCAGAACACGGTACGTTCCATCTGAAATCAAACCATGTGTCCACCAGTACTCAAAAGTTCCCACGTAATCATGGTAATCATCAGTAACCGCATTGCCCACCTGAAATATCAGAGTTGAGCAATTCAAACAAACTAATGGGCTATCCAATCAGTTCAGGTAAGTGGGCAGGAATCCAGTTTCTTACCATGAACCCCTTAAAATTTATTATAGGATTTGGGAGCCCTTTGTTCCTTTGGTAGATGAGTTGGGCCAACTGTGGAACATAGTGCCCTGTTAAGATTCATGCAAAACATGTTATAAACATTAAAATGCAGGAAATCTCTCTCTCTCTCT